TCGGAGCAATTTATATGTAAATATCGAAGGATTACCATCCGCCGAGAAGAGACCAACAAACTGGTCTGTCTTGACGGCGGTTTTTGCACTCTCGTCTCACTGTTAACCTAATTTCGGCCGGAACACACGTCGGGGTTTTTGTTTGGCCACGTTCCCCTTGCTTGGGCAATCGCAAGCCTTATGTAAGTATCGGGTCAGTATCAGTGACTGTACAGGATTCGCACTTTCTCTTGAGATGTAGGAGTTAAATGTTTAGGAATTTCCTAATTAGTTTGGTTTTGGTCGGGTTTTTGCTTGATACTCGTGTTTTGTGGTTTCAGAGATATCGACACCGTTCCTTTTGCATGTCTCCAAACACTATGGTTATCACTGAAGTAGTTTTGACTGCACACCAAGGATCGTAAACCGCATATTAACAGTTGTTTGATCTTCTCGCATCGAAGTTAATACTGTATATTCTGTGTAAAATAGGTGATCTACGACAAAAAGAGGTTGTTTGCGACAGGGAATTTTCTCCTGAGTTACAAAAGCCAAATTAAAAGTGTTACACATTGTGGACGCGTTGTGAGGAATACTCTCTACCTACTCCTGTAGTATTTTATCTGGATTGTTTCAGATTAATCATTAAAAACCTATTCCTCTGTATCTTGATGATTAATTGTATTGTAGGCAGGGTGAATCTAGATCCAATAATGTAATCTGTACAATATCCGGGCAGTGTTAGCAGGGAGAGGTGTCAACACCTTCATTACCCCTGCTACCCCCACAGTCACGTGTCTACCAAGTACAGACCTCGATAGCAAGACACTACCTTGATTACAACAGGATTGTGAACTAGCGCACCTTAATCCCGTTTAGTGAAATTTAGAACTTGGTGAAAAAACGTATATATTGTGGTGGCTCTGTTATAGCCTAATTATTTCTTCGTTTTTATTTAAACCCCTATTGTAAACTGCATAATTGGCCTAACAAACTTGTCAGCGAATCAAACCCTGTTTAAAATATGATTTCGCCCTTTGTGCTATTCCAAGCAATATTATTTTGCTATGTTTGTGTGTTTCGACTTAAACTCAAAAAAGTGTTATAAAAACATCATTTTAACGTCTGTTTAGCGTTTAACTTTAACGTGGGTATTTATATTTTTTTAGTTCTATTTTAAAAATGTATTGAGATAACCCTGTTGAGTAATTCGTGTTAGAAATTTCAAAATTTTTTTGTTTTTATAATACTACTAACACTCGTACACAATTAGTACATGTTACCATACAAGCTTATTAACGTTAAGTTATACCATCTGTTCTCTTTTATTTGTTAGTGAAATATATGATTGTTTGGTCGCAAAAATGTTACGATTCAATGTTAATCTAGACATTCTTTAGCAAAACTTGCTTAATTAAAAGCCTTTCTTTACGGTGGATAGTGACCAGTACCGAGTTACAAATCTCGCTAGGAAGTATCATGGGCAAATTGGTTTAGTAATCCTCCTTGATATCGAGGTTTTATTGCTAATATAGTAGCGAATACCAATGCATCTTACGTATCTACAATAGCTTTGACCTACCGGCTTGTCATCTTGGGCTGTTTCGGTTATTACTCCATTGACCCAGGCAATGCGCCAAATTTAAAGGTCATCCAAGTCAGGATCTTAAACCGCCATACCTAGGATGCGGAACGCTTGTAATGTTTTTTCGTCAGAAAATTAGGTTTCATAAACTATGTTGAATTCACGTTTTCCATAAAACCCTTCCACAAATTCTTGTACCGTTTTTCATCAGTGAACTTTTGGCGGATATTTTTCCCAAGTTGGAACATTATTTTGCTCTAGTACCCTATGGCTAATCGGTTCATTATTACTATACGTTATGGGTGATTTGTTGACCTTTAAAACTAATATTGCATATACATTGTCGGTATTAAATGCAATATTTTCCCCATATTCCGCCTAAATGGCTTAGAAGAAAATTCATCTTAATGGCTTTGATTTCCATGTAAGCGTTTGTGAGTTGTACTTTCGCACCCTAATTAAATTGAAAAATATGTCTATGAAGGAAACAAATAACCTATAATGTTTACTTTGATTTTGGGGTTTTTTGTACAAGGGCTCGCCAAATAGCCTTTTAAACTCCATTGTATTATTTCGGAACAATTTACAAAGCCTAGTTTCTCAAAAATAATTTGAGCAATCCCTAAAAGGATTGCTGTACTGTATTACATTTCACGGTAAAACACCTCTTTTTGCAACTAAGTTCAAAACGATTCAACTTAAATAATGCAATAGTCAAGACTCCTTTACGTTTTGCATACTGCATACATATAAAAACAACACTAGTGTATTGCTGACCAACCAAGTTCGTCGATTAATTGATTTGCAGTAACTCCTACATGCCAGAGTGCGTTAGTTAATTTAAGGTGAGGATTTTACAATATGACAATTTATTCATCCACTTGGACCACAGGTCCACTCTTACACCGGTCCAGACTTAGACATTAATGCAATTTTAGTTGTGGCTTAGCAGCTTAAACTACCTTATAACTAAAAAAAACAATTTATTGTAGATTATTTTTGTAAATAACGCATCTTGCGTTAAACTGCTTAGCTTTTGAGATATTACATTGTGACTTTTACAAATTGTTAATTTTTTAAATCCTAAAACACAAAACATTCTTCAATGAGAGACAGGTGAATTTTGAATTCATTAATTTAATTTTGTTATTGTCCAAGATTAGCAAGTTCTATAGCCTTGGCCATTTATTGTCTGCGAGCAACGAACTAGAGCCCCACGCCTCTAAGAGACCTACAATTATGACCTGCAATGTTTAACAATGGTCCAAGACGATTATCCTCATAATTTCAGTTCCTGTGCATTTAGTTCTGCTACCATAACAATCTGGAGGTTAACACTGTCCATCAATTTCCTGCCATTAGCAGTAACTAACGTTTTACACGTCCCAATTATGGTTTCATATTACTTCGGCCTACTAGATTCTCTCATGGCTTAGTTATGCATGTGGAAAACTGGTGGTATCAAGGCTTTTAGAGTCATAATGCCTCATTTATTCGATTTGTCTTCATTATAAATCAACTTTAGGTCGGCAGAACAGTGCATTAGACAAGAACTTCCGTCTATGTACCCCACGGTTAGTTATGCTGATACGCCAACCGCATCGAACTTGGCAAGACGCAACAATAAAACGTCTTAAGAAGTTTTATATTGTGTGACGAAGGTTTGGCAAATTTCATCTTACGACAAAACTCCTTTGAACAAAATCCAAGATCCCTCTCCGTGCATTCTCTACGAAACACATGAATTTGCCTTTCTACAGGTTTGGCGGAACTTTTGTGACGTCTTTAGACGATTTCAAACTGAACAAAATAAAACTGAAGACTTATTATGTCTGTTGAAATGTGTGACTAGGCCACACCAGACTAGGCCTTAACCTATAGTTTTAAAGTGCCATTAATCATTGATTGTTCTCAGTTGACTTAGTAACACTAAGGTTGTTTGATTACGTGCAAATTAAGCGAACTTATCTACTTAACTCGTTAATAGAAATATATGAGTAAAGTTGTGTTGAGAACGGTAGTTATAGAATGATTTCGTTATTGCAACCCATTTATTATTGTTGTATTAAAATTATTACCATGGAGTTTATGGGACAGCTTAAGTTTTAGCAAAAATAATTTATTTTATTGCTTATTCACATCAAATTCTTAAATTAATTAATTTTCCAAATATCTATTGCAATGTTTTCAATCTGCATGCATAAACAATGTATACCAACCAAAACTCTTGATCTTTAAACATTGACAGATTATGATTTAAAAAAACACAATATTTGCCAATAACATGGTAATTAATAGGTGTCTATGGGGGATCGAAGTTCCAAAATAATAGTACAAAATAAAGAGAGATACTGAATTTCACTCTTTGTTTTGTGCTTAGTGTAGGACTTTTCTATGACCATAACAATAACGCTAGCCGCCACTTACAAATCTTTGAACAGAATTAGGAAATAGAGTTTTCGAGTAGATAAATAACACCCAATTTGAAAATTGTAGTTTCCTAAACTCTTCCAGACTCCCTCGCCGCAGTTATAGATCGGATTTCCGATCCCTATGGCCAACAGTAATGACCCTCGAATTCCGCGACTTTTAATTGGTTTTGGCTAATTGTTATCGGCTGGATTTACAAGCCGGACAGAAAAACACAGCGGAAACTTAAGTGGAGTTTGATGACGCGGAAACAAAATAGGCCTATTGTTGTTTATGTCCCATTAGAATTAGATCTGACTGTGATATGATAGCGATCGCTCGTGCGTCGGCCCTTGGGGAAACTAGAGGTCGCTATCGCTATGAAATGGTGTCTATCGCAACAGGGAAGTTTGGAATCCTTCTTGGGGTCTATATATAGTTGCGTGAATAATATTATCTATTGGTAATTCGGAAATATGCCTAGACTCTAACTTGTATCTTAGACTTAAAGTAATCAATCATCGGCTTTAGATAATTTTTATTGTTTACCTTTTTGGTTACATGTAGATTAAGTGAATATACTGTTTCCTAATACTCAATGCTAGTAGAGCATCCAATCGCAGCATTGCTATGTCTCCATAAGATCGTCAAAACACGCACGTATCATAAGCATGGTGATCAAAATCTTCCCTCAATCTAATATCTAGTATGTTATAAATCAATGTATACTTTTAGAATGTCCAATGTAGGTTGGTCATGTTGAATAGGTGGCTTAATCGAGAGCAAATGAGAATTTGGACTGTGACAGCGAAGTAGTGCGTTGGCATCCCTGTGCACAACCAATATCATGAGTGTTTATTCATTAACTTTACTGGGTCAACTTCAGATCTGATTGATACTTTACACTGTCAGGGCCAGGGTTAAGCGGGAATATGATGGTGAAAATTCTTTATTTTCTAAAGCAGTGTATTTTAGTCAAGAAGTTTATCTTTTACATCATCCTCTAATCAGTGTTTGGTTGTTTCAGATCCCAGAGTGAGCGACTGGGCGATGATGAGCTCCCCGTTCCCCACACTGGCCATATGCCTTTTCTACGCTTACTTCTCCAAGGTGCTCGGCCCTCGACTGATGGAGAACAGAAAACCCTTCAGCCTAAGACGAGTCCTCATCGTCTACAACTTTTTACAAACAGTGTTCAGTTCCTGGATATTCTACGAGGTGAGTCTATCAATTAGTCTGCGAGAAACTTTGCCTTTTTAAAAGTTACACGAGATTGGATCAAAATAAAAGTTGCTCGAAAGTTTCTTCTGATCTCCGAGTGAGAATTAAACTAGGTTCAAGTTTGTGTTTGTTGTGTGTTGTCCAACTGTTATGAGCCGTAGACTTAGACTTGCCTTTTCTTTGAAGAAAATCTAATACACGTACGGATATTATTTTTTATGTTAAATCTTCTCTTGTAAAACCTTGCTTGGATCGACTTTTGTTAGTTGCTCGCCAATGCTCGATTTGTACGCAAATGAGTATCATGAGGTTACAAAATGACTATAACGTTTCTTGGACGTAAATGAAATCTATATGACTGGCAGCTGTAAAAGTAAATTTACCAAACGGTCGAGTAGGTTTTAAGTGGTTTACTCTAGTCGTTAATCTCTTTAGGTAGGACAACTTTATTTGTGATCAACGCGTTCTTATTTAATTTGTTTGAAAACCCCATGTTTGACGTAGCACTTTTTTGTGGTTTCCAGTCGCAAAATTGATATTTATGTTTAAAGATTTTATAGTTTGCATCTCCATCATTATTAATCTTCTACTTGATCAGATCTGTTTACGTCTGTTTACGTGAGGGTAGTATGGGGCGGACGGGGTGCGGCTCTAGCCAATATTGGCCTATAGCGTGGAACGACCTCGTAAAAGTACGCGTGCCATGAATGTAAATTGCGTACATGTTTTTTGTTTATCAGTACACTTACGGTTGGTTATAAAAGTACGTATTTATTTAATCCTAATCTTACCGAAGATAGTAGAATATTCAAATTATTTTGGTTATTTGATTATCCGTTTATTCAGTCGTATAGGTTGTAATTATTTCATGAGTACCATTTGTTGATAAACTCTAAAACCGTTGGTTATCAAATAGAAATTTAAAATCACTACGAGAAGCAATTCGCCGTGGGAATAAAGCATATCCATCGTAAGCAAGCAATGCACATAGCTACCTCAGCAAATTCTTTGCAGTTTTAACCGTGATAGCAACGTAATGTATATGTCACTAAGGTTGTACCGTTCTACGATGGAATAAATATCCTTAAGTATTTTAAGTGTTTGGGTACAGTGCATAGGCCCAAATCAGCGACCAAAAAATTAATGTTTTAATTCTTTTAGTTCTGTCGTTGGTTTTTTTTTTTATAAAAAAAAAACTAACGGCGTTTTTGGTTCGCTGATTCGATCCCATACGGAGCCAACTTTAAGCCCAGATGACATTTTTGTTGGACGCTCCTAACAAAAATGGATGATATCTAACAAAATATTGACGTTATAGATCAGACAGAGTTAGTTCAACCTTTTAAACCGTTCCCTTAAAAAAATTGCCAATTGCGTAAACATTTACAAGAGAAATACTAACCATACGGTTTAACATTATTTGTAGGTTAAGGAAAGCCTGCTTTGTCGTAAAGTACTAAACTTCATCAGTAAGAGTGAAGGATGTAATGCTCGTGCGATTGACCCAGTTGAAGAACTCGTCACACTCACAGTGGTAAACACATTAGTAAACAGTCTGCTCACACACACGCACATTGTTTATTGGCATTATGTTTACGGGTATTCATTTTACAACCCATGTACATACACAGCTTAGGGTGTCTTTCAATAATTGAATAAACATCAAATTTGATGTTACTCGATTCTTTTGCAGCAAACAAATATAGTTATGAAACCTCCTCTGAACAAACTTATTTAAACAATAAAAATCTTCACAGCAGATCGTCTGCAAAGTAGATTTTACTGTTTTTTGAATGCAAATTTGGCTACCCATTCGCTCAAACTACTACTCTCCTAGGCTATTAATTAGTTTTCTGTGTTATATTTTAGCAACTGTTTTCTTCGTATCGCACACTTACTGTTTAACGAAGTTAAAATGAAATAACAGCTCAGTGGAAAGTGTGCATTTTATGTGTCGCATCAGCGATCAAAGCATTGAAAACTAAGAGTAAAATGGAATTTAGACCGATTTCTTTGTGCAGCTCATTCAAGTAATATATATTCTGTATTATATCTATACTTATTTAATACGCAAGCAGGTTTTTTGTGACAATTAGGGCCCTTTACACGAGGCCACTGGTGGCCGCCACCTGTTGTGTTATAAAGTTTGATTGCTTCAGCCAATAATTATCTTAAACACAAAATCGTATTTCTGATTGTAATCACTATAATTTCAACGCCCTGTCCTTGGATTCTCCGAAAAAGTCCAAAAACGTACTGTAATTAGTTTCAGATGTATCGATAGTCCTTTTATCTCACCTCATCCTTGTCCTCGCCCTTGGCAGCCTCAAGGTCGTATGAAGGTCCTCTGGTAGTGAACTTGCTGTGCAGACGAGTCACTGAACCTTCCTGGTCCTTTGTCTCTCTTGGTCTTCAGGTTTGTGTTACTTGGTTTAGATGGACGTTGATAGGTCCTCGCCCTTGGCAGCCTCAAGGTCGTATGAAGGTCCTCTGGTAGTGAACTTGCTGTGCAGACGAGGCACTGAACCTTCCTGGTCCTTTGTCTCTCTTGGTCTTCAGGTTTGTGTTACTTGGTTTAGATGGACGTTGATAGGTCCTCGCCCTTGGCAGCCTCAAGGTCGTATGAAGGTCCTCTGGTAGTGAACTTGCTGTGCAGACGAGTCACTGAACCTTCCTGGTCCTTTGTGTCACTTGGTATCCAGATTAGATTTACTTGTTTTGGATCGTCATTGATAATGAATTATTATTGTAAAGTTTTCGGTTGAGAAAGTTCTTACGGACAAAGTTCCCTTAGACTGCAATGCTCATCCATTTTATTCTATGGTAGATTCTTGTTGAGCTATCGATTTGCACGTTAATCCTCCCATTTTATTTCTATGTTATATTGTACATCCTTTATTGGAGGAGTTCTTAAGTAATGACGCAGAGATGTTCTCTTAACCTGAAAGGCACTTTTTGCTCTCCATACCGATGGACCTTTAGTCAAGCTGGGTTTTGAACCAGTGAAACTCGATATTGTAACAAAGGTAAACATAATTTGTGATTGGCTGGATTTGAACCCAGGAGTTGTGGGCGGGAAGATTCAAGTTTTGTTCATATTTTTTAGTTTTCTTATTTGCGATTCTGTACTAAGACTTTTGTTTTGTTGTGATGATTTTCGACGGACTGAAATACGTTTTATATTAAATAATTGTATGTTGGGAGGTTCTTTCCCCCGATCCTTGTTACAAACTGGTTTGTTCCCATGGAAGAATTCCTGTGACCTTGCCACTAAAGGCACACAGTACCTGCTTCACAACTCGCACCTACCACGACCAGATGTGTCAATGTCAGCCAAGTATCCTGGCTGTTGTGTAACATGTTGTCTCCACATGGATCACCTTGGCGAGGTTATGTATCCTGGAGCAGATTGTGTTCAATTTTCCTTCGTTATTTCTTTGTCTTCTTCACTATGTATAATTTTACTACCTCAGTATTGCCGTTTTCGAAACGAAATACAAACTAAGCCATTTAAGGAGTTTCAAAGTATGTAGAGAGTTATTTTTCAATATTTTTTTACCTCTTCTATAATTTCCTTAACGAAGATTGATCCCTTAAACAGTATGGGGTCAGCGTTAATAATTAATCACACATAGAAGGTCCGGAAGTTACTCATCCTGTCCATGGGTGGGAGTTGGCATTATAGTATTAGTGGTGTCTAATATTTCAGCAGGGTTTTGTTGTACAGGGCGTAGCCAAGAAACATCATCGTTTATTGCTAACTCTCCCACTAATTATAGTCCTAATGTGTACTTCATATATAACCTAAACAGCGGTGTTTAAAAACTGTAATAAATTTGCCAAATGTATATACTTAATTCAATGAGAGTTTTCTCTGTTATATCCCTTTTTCAGATTTCATACTTACCCGATTTTTACGATTAAGGTGTCATTGAAAAGGTGATGATCTAGAGTGACAAATGTTAGCTAAAGGTAATTTCTTTAAGGGCTTCGCCCCCGTAGCGTTTGATTTTTTAAGTTTTATTTTCAAAGACTTATTGATGGTGACTAACTTCCTTTATAACTATTTAATTGTAAATTTAAATGTGAAACGCTTATCATTCAGTTAAATGTTAACCCCAGTCAGATTTTAAACTAGTGACAAAACTTTTTCTGAAAATTGATTATGAATTGGCTGATTTTTATAACTGTAAACTCATTGAGATTACACAACTAGCTAAAAACAACAAATTTAATTGATTGTATCAGTACTTTTATTCAACTACAACTGCTTCAAACAAATATTATTTTTAAAAAATAAAGGGGTTTTTCATTATTCGTTTGCCTTCGGAATCAGACCCTATTTTAAATACGCAATTTTCGCGGGTCCCCTTGTACGGGATTATTTTAGATTGTGTACTGAGTTGTAATTTATATTTTTATGTCGTCAAAAGCTATTTGTTGCTCTAACGGAACATCCTCTTTAAATATTTGTCATCCATAATTTCAACAGATAAGTATGTTATTGTTTATATAAAAGAATCGATTCCACTATTTGACATTGTGATTATTAACACATTTTTGAAGTTTGATTGTAATGTTACCTAGATTTGGGCAGTTCCCTTATGAAGATTTTTTTCAAATTTCTTTCGGGTAGACAAACACAGGTAAAAGATAAAATACTGATATTGTAGAACATCGTCATACGTCCCGTGTTAAGAAAGCAACCATAAATAGAAAGATAAAATATTATGCTTTTGTTTTATTCTCCTCGGTCTGAACATGTCCAGAGTTTAAACAGTACAACACGGTGGTTACATGTACAGGAAAGTCTCATGAAATATGACTGGACCTTGCTGTAGCCGGAATCAGTCCCTGGAGTCTTTATTTCGTGCTGTCATGTGCCTTTCATAACGTTTTGACACACCAACCCATGGGTCGAGTTGGATTGACTTTAAATCTAAACACACGAAATATACCTTATTTATAATGTAGTATGGTTGTAATTTTAAAACGTA